ATGTTCTTATAAGGACTAACAATATCTATCGAGATTTATTTAATTTAATTGTTCTCTTAAGAAAAGATTGGCACATGCATATCTTGTAAGAACTAATAATTAGGAAATGATTATTGATAAAAAAAAAAGAGAGAAACAAGTTAACATGATAAGAGAAAAAGAGAGAGATTGGTGTACTTATTAACAGAGATAAACATGCAATTAAATAACATTTGCATGCATGCCATTTCATGATAGTAAGAGAACAAAGATCAAATTCAAGACAAAATGAAAATAATCATTTTCAGCATCTGTTAGAATTTAATCTTTCAATTTTGTACGACAATATCTTATCTTTCAAAACCTAAGCTATTTTTTGCTAATCTATGCTTAACATTCGCTCAATAAAACACTTAGATCTCAACGTAAAATTAGTAACTAACTATAGAAGTTTGATTAAAATGATCACTTATTGCACTGTGTCAGCTGAAAAAATTAAATTTATCGATAAGCACTTAGAACTAGTCTTATTCATCTACACTCTTAAGAATTAATAAATATCAATTAACGGGAGGCAAATAAGTGAACATACAATAGGATTAGGTATGATGCCAGTATAGTCGGCTTCGTTTGTTTTCATCTAAAATATCATATTATATTATTATTATTATTATTACTATTATTGAACCAAATTACTATCTTAGAAAATTGGCGGAATGATTTTTTTTTATTTCTTGTCTTTATAAGAAAAAAAGGCGACTTAGCAATCTGCCACCAGAGGCTATTAGATGAAAATTTAAAAAAAAATGATTTGCAATAAATTTTTCTATATGTTCATTCATTCACGTAAATAAATTTAAGTGAGTGCTTTAGTTTTAACAACTTTAATATTCATTGATACGACAATTATTAAGTTGTGTATGTAGAGAGACGAAAAAAGAAATTTATCTTTAGGGCATCGGCTACTTTTTTTGTTTTTAAGAAGAAAAAAACAAAAAAAAAAAAAATTAATATGGCCCTTCTCAGAAATTCGTAGAAGCCAACTCTGTGATGATGAGATGAATGTCGTTTTTCCGTTTTTGTGTTCTTTTAATTATTCAAGTTGCATATCATTTCAATTTAGCTGTTGGTCAAATTTAGCTAAATGAGTTAAAATCTCATTGGGTGGTATACGTTACATCTGTTACCGATGAGAATGTGATTGTAATGAACAAAAGATGACTACTATCAACTACCTTTCTTAGCTATTTTATAACATCTAGTGATCTTTTCTTGTGAAAATGAAATATATATCAGTTGTATAAATACCTCCTAGATCTTGTGAGTGTCTATCATTGTGTTTATAGTCATTTGAATCACTGCTATTCGAATATGATTGATGTAATAAATGTTGAGTTGATGCGGATCCTGGATGAACATAGAATGATGATGATCCCCACGGTTGTGAATGTAATACGTGAAGTTTACTGTCCACAGAATAATATGTTTCATGATTCATTGGATCTATTGATTTTGAACCGAGATTACGAAGCACTCGATTGATAGATGATACCTTTAAAAAATTAATAAATATTAACAAATAATAGTAATCGAATAATTATCAAACTTACACTGGGAATATTGTCTTGTGTACAAACTTGATCACCGAGTAAACGATCTCGAATTTCCCATGCAAATATGCTAGGTGTTTCACGTTTATATTGAGCAATTTTTTGTACAACTTCGGGTGTAGCAACACGTGGCTTTGAACCACCAATAGCTCGTGGTTTAATACTACCCGTTTCATAGTATCGTGCGAGAATTTTTGATACACATCCGTTAGATACTTGTAAACACCTATAACAATAACCATGTGTATATTTATCTTGATGACTCATCATCTATCTATTAAAACTTTATTCAAACCTGGATATGTCACATGGTCTCATGCCCTGATGAGCTAATTCAACAATTTTCTGTCTGGTACCATCTGGTAGAGGTCGACCATTAACGAATAAACCACCAAGTTGATTCACTCCTGAATGCCCTAAATATTTAAACAAAAATTCTTTGTTTACAAACATTTGTAAACTTTTCTTCTCAAATAAAAGTTTTAAATAATGACAAAAAAATAATCTTAAATTATGTGAACATACATCCGGAACTGAAAATCAGACTGTCGATTTTAATGTACAAAGCATATTACAAATGAAAAGACTCTTACAAACTACAATCTATTACTCTGATCTTGTCTTTTCTTTTCCTAGATGCCTAAAAATTTGTTATGATACTTGATAAGCGAGACTATTTATTGCATTATTCATTAGAGAAGTAAGTTATTTTTTCAAAATAGTTCAATTGATATATAAGAAGATAAAAGTGAGAGAATAACACCACTGGATAATTTATAATTGCAAACAACAATTTCTTATCAATGCATAGAACAAAGTCATAGGTGATAAAAAAAATTTTAAATTTAGGTGTTATTAGTAAATGTTAAAAACATTATTATTCGTAACTAATGTAGTTATCATCACTATAGTAGTTATCTCATTATAATTATTCATCGTTATAGTAGTTATCTCGTTATAATTATTCTACATCAACAAGTAAAATGTCACTTTTTATCTTTTCTCTATTTGTAGTAATTTACAAAATACATAGTCAAATTGCCTTAAGTAGGAAAAACTACAAATGTGTTTTGATGCGAACAAGTCACTGTTTTTTTGATGGAAAAACATAGAAAAGACAGAATTGACTATAATTATCAAGATAATAATATAGATCAAAACAAAAAAAAAAAATCTCATTTTAATTCATGGCATAATCACAAAAAAATTAACCAATCTTTCAAATTTATTATAATAACGAGCAAAGAAAATGTAAAGTATTAAACCTTTATGAATTTGAATATTAGATTGTAATTATCTTAGCAAATAGAGTATCACTGTAGTTTTCTGTGATTTGTGTGTATTCGGAGAAAAATTTTACTCATAATACGATCAAAATACTGGTTCGAAAAAACGAATTCTCTAAGAGAAATTACTTCCTTTTTTAAATTCTTCATAGATTAGAACTATCAATCTACTTAGCAATTTTTGATTTAAGTTATTTTCACCTGTTTATCACATTTTACAATAGAAAAGTTATGTTAAAACTAAGAATTCAACTTGAAAGAAAGATGGTAATTCTCACTTTTCTACGACGTGCATCACTGTGTTTCAATAGAATATGTAAATTTTGACTTCAGACTTACCCTTGTGTGGCATCGACAAATCCGCGTGGCCCTCTATGATTGCGATTTTTATTAATAATTGACGTTGTATACCTAGAAAACAATATTGAACATATTATCAGGATAAAAATTAATTTAAAACCCTTAATCTAATGTATATTTTCAAATTTTAAGACATTTATAAAAGTTATTTATTTTCGAGTACCTTTCAATTCTTCCTATGCTTACCTTAATGATGTACGATAACCGATCGAATTCATCATCAAATTATTTAAAAATTCAGAAAATAGTAGAAAATTGTAACTATTTACAAAGTATTTTAAGATAAAATATATGTTATTTAAATAACTATTTCTTATCTCAAAATAAAACTTTATAAATTTATTTCTCATACTGTTACGAGAATTTCTAAATATAAAATTTTTTTTTCTCGCGATTTATTCAACTATACATTTATCGTTCATCCATTCATATATTTATTGATTCATCATCATCAGTTATTTATTCATTCATATTCCCGTATTAGTTGGTTGACGAAGTTCATTTATTTGAACATCATTTTTTTGTGTTCTTATTTCATTTTTTTTTTTCTTTTTTTGATAAATGAAAACAAAAAAAAAAAACGAGGAAAATAATAATGTTTGTTTTTTCAATTGGAACTTCTCTTTTTCAACTAATAAGTTTATTACCGTCTAATAACTTTGAAGGTTAGATACATATATATTTTTTTATACATAGTCAATCACGTGTGATGATCGTCATCACCACAGTCAACCATCGTTTATTTAAAAAAAAAGAAAATTATTTCCCTTATAAGCTAAATAATCGTTCATTTAGAATAATGTTATTTTCCTTTCGAGAAATAATCATTCACTCATTCATTATATTTTTTTAAAAACATTTATGTTAATATTTTTTCGACTTACAGTTCAATGATTTGGAGCTTGTCGGGATAAGAAGAAAAATTCTAATAGTTAGTTGTTCGCTTTCGTTTGAGCGAGCGCATTCGAGACAAAATGAGAGCTCATTTAAAGGAATTCGTACGAGCGTTAAAAAAAAAATAAAAAAGAAGAAAGATGAGATAAAAAAAAAAAAAGGAAAAGATATAACAACTTGATAAAAATGAAAGAAAAAAAAGATAAGAGAAAGAAATTTTTTTTCTATTTTCAAATAAATCAGTTTAAGAAAAAATGTTAAAAGTCTTTTTTGTTAGTGAAGCGTTAAAAATGAATGACGTGTGCGCTTTATGATACAAATAGCGTTATTACTAAATGTCCGACAAGAAAATCCAATTGTTTGTCGGTTTTTTCTGCTTTGCACAAAGTTAGTTGGACATATTTCTTTTCTTTTTCTTTTTTTTCTTTTTCTTCTCTGTTTTTGTTTGTTGGACATAAAGAGAAAGAGAATATCTTTTGTCGTCAATCAAAGCAAGTGAGATTTTCTTCTTTTTTTTTTCCTTCCTTCCTTCCTTCCTTCTTGACAATATGAAGAAGAAAAAGAAAAGACATTTTATTCGAATTAGACATTGGTTCGCTTATTTTTTATATCATTTTCGCATCGTTAAGCGGTTGGCTAACTTATTTTCATTGTGAGGTCATGCTTGTTTCTGGTTCGTCAGTTTATTTATTTGTATTATCATTTTTAAAAATATTCACTCAGTTGATCGATAATAACAAATCTATTGATAAGAATAATAACTGTAACTGAGATTTTTTGAATAGACTAGAGTAAAAAAAGGTCAAAATCAAACTGAAAGTTATACAATTCATTTTTTGATTTTTTCAGACAAATATATACTGGGAATAGAGAGAAATGCATCTATGTCTTCCATGGGAAATTTAGAAACAATTAGAAAATGTTTTTCTTTGTCATTCGATCTTATCATCATTATTAAATCTTTTTTCAAATGTTATACGAACCGAACCGTAGAGTATAAAGGAAATTGTTGATGTAAATATGCAGAGAGGAGTATAGTTGATCAAATTGACTAGACTAATTTATCTTTTACAGAATTTTACGTTTGAGATGAGAGTGACACACATAGAACTAGCCAAGTTGCAGAATAAAACAGAAATGGAATCAATTAAACACTCAATCGTTTTGTTTAGTATAAATATTACTATGGATTTTGATTTTCGACCTAATACTCTTGACAGTTGCAGACATTTTTGCTTTTATTTCTCAACTGTTTTAAACATGTATTTACTGCTGTTTTTAGTGTATATCAACAAATGTAGATATAAAAATAAGTCTGACATGTATACATTTAAAATTTAATTAAAAATACGGTTTTTTTCATCAAAGAATCTCTATAATCTAACATATGAAAAAAAAAAGAGAATTATTTTAAATTAGATTTTTTCTTCTGTCTCTGTCTCTCTCTCTCTCTCTAGACTCTCTCCTCTCCATATCAAATATGTATGTATATTAGAAACCAATCTGTAACTATAATATGATTGTCGAATAATCGTTTGTCCTCTCATTCTCTCTCTGTTCCGGTTATTATATTGACCACCTAAGGAGATTTTTCGCCTAATTGAACATGAACATAAAATGAATTCTATAACAAGGCTATTGGTCATTTGTTAGAAGATTTGGAGAGACGACAGTCTGTCTTATGTATGAATATATTCCCATAGGACAAGTGAGAGCGAAAGTATACATGTATATTTGCATACTTAAATTTTATACTCACCGTTTCTTTTTCTTTTTTTATCCAATCTTTTCACGCTTGATGAATAATTTACTTTAAAATCAGAAACGAAAGAAAGAATCATTGCATACAACTAGAATTAAAGTCGTTTTCATGTTATACTTGTCCTTGTCAAGTTTCGATTTGTTTCAATAACAGTATAAGAGAAGAAAAATAAACAGTAACATATAATTATCATACTCAGACAATTGTTGATGTTTTTATTTGTTAAGAAAAGAGACAATTTTTACAAGAATGACGGAGCTTGATTTTCAATTTCTTTTTAATTCAATGTCGATTCAACTAGAATAAACGCCAAATTTTTATTATACTTCAATGAGATGAATTATAATTTAATTTATAAAATCTTTTATTTTTAATATAGACTATCAGTTACTATTGTAGTTTCGGAGAAATTGGAAAGTGTTTTCTGTTAGATCAGGCTAGGAAACTATTGACTCGGAATAAAAAATATTTCTATCGAACTGTGCTCATAATTTTTCTATGATACTATCAACAAAAGAAGAAGTCTAATCTGTTTAATAACATTTTTTATAATATTTTGCGTGTACGAAGTACTTAGACTTTCTGAGAAGTGTGCGTGCTCTTCTTCAAGCATAAACATATTTCTAATTCATGTATTATTCGCCGAAAAACATTGTCACCGTTGTGTCAAAAGTTTTGTTTATACCAGTTTACTAATGAAAGTACCTAACCGTCAAAAAAAAATCTAGTATCACCCGATTTATCTAGCTTATTAGATTTTTACTCGATTGCAACTATTTTGTAACGACATAGGAAATCTAGTAATCGGGCGATTGCTCGATTTCTTCTAGTTGTAACTATCAATTTATCGACCGATAATCGATCGATTTAACTATTGCTAGTTACACATGCAGACACATCTAGTTAAAAGTCCCTTTTCCAACTAGTAATCTCAATGACAACTAGTCGTGTACCGCCCGATTATAGACGAAATGTATCTAGATTTTTCCCATAGGTGATGTTTGCTTGGGTATAATGAACATTCATAATATACAAGAAATAGTAAACAATTGAAAAGACTCAAAACTTGTGTAATAAAATTTTGATCTATATGGATCATCTAGTGATATCCAATGCAACATGAAATGAATAGTCTTATAAAATTTAAGATGTGAGAAAATAGAATTGCCAAGAATTTGTTTTCCTCATTAAAAGAAATTTTTCGTTGTCTTACGTTTCATCGTCTTTTACTAATTTAAATTAATTTTTTAAATACAATAACATCCGACGCCATGAATGATTACATATAGAAGAGTATTAAAATAAATCATAATAATGAAATCATCCGTTTGTTATTATAATATAAAGTCAACAACTATTTAAACGATTCAAAAATAGAAAAGATATAATAGAGTTAGAATAAAATTAATTTAAAATATGACAAACAACTTCTATTCAATAAGAAATATATGGTAGATTAACAGTAAAAAGAAATATTTTTTTTTGGTTCGGCGAATAGACTGTTGTTTTTATAGGTTGATATCTGCCGAATATGAAAAGATTAGAAGATTGATATTTTATAGTATTCAAGAGTTAGAAAAAATTAAAACTACATAGAAAATAATATCATTTAATTAAAGAAAAGACATTATTAATTGTTGACTAACTTCTCACTATATAGAAGACTGGACTTATTTTAATCTTTTCAAAAATTAAAGAGTCTCTTTCTTCTTGTTTCGTGTATTTGTTATTCGATATTCTATTTCGACAACAATTTTAGTCAAATATCTAAAATAATATACACTCTATCATTATCTACTTGTACTGATCAATCATTTTCACTAGGTGATCACATTTGTGACGCCTAAAACAATCGATTTGTGATCTGTGTAATTATATAATCCTAATTATGACAATGATCACTTTGACTTTATGCTCTTGAACAGTACAAACAAATAAATAAAGAAAAACAACATTAAAATAATAATTTACACAGCTTGATGATGATGATGATGGTTAAATTAAAGGTCATACGATAAGAACATCAGAGATCAAGTCATTAACTATATAAAACTTGTTTACATAAAATATGTCGTATATAAATATATTTTTCTTGAATGATTTGTCGTTACTCGTCTTTTTACAATCAAATGTGAGTTTTTTTACCGTAGTTTTTCTAATTACGTCAGAAACACGTGTATGGTTCTTAGCCTACGTGATTACATGATGTTCTCTTTCTATCTAAATATGATGGGCGTCAGAGATTTTCCATTTCACTACCTATGCCATAGTAATTAGCATCATTTCCTACGTATTGGTTTTCGCATGATTAGCGTTGAATCTTCTCTCTCTCTCAT